GGTTTGGAACGGCCCGTTCTGCTACAATTGTTAGGCCTTTTTAGGAGTCTCGGAACGGCCCGTTCCAATTCGAGAACGGCCCGTTCCGGACTTGGGAACGGCCCGCTCTGATTTTGGAACAGCCCGTTCCGGGCCACTAAAAATAGTTGATTTGGGATTTTGGGCCCTCTAATGTCCTAACCTGTTGATTGTATGCCCCTGGACGAAATTGGGTGTCTATAATTCCTCATGCTTATGTCGGCGGTGGCACGACCTTGGGAAAAAGATGCTACAGGCGTGACCTTGGTATAGTGTAGGATGTGTGATTCCTCATGCTTATGTCGGGGGTGGCACGATCTTGGGCAAGAGATGCTACAAGCGTGACCTTGGCATAGTGTAGGATGTGTGAATCTTCATGCTTATGTCATGGGTGGCACGACCTTGGGCAAAAGATGCTACAGGCGTGACCTTGGCATAGTGTGGGATGTGTGAGGTAATTAACACTTATGTCAGGGGTGGCACGACCTTGGGCAAGAGGTGCTATAGGCGTGACCTTGGCACAGTGTGGGATGTGTGATTCCTCACACTTATGTCGGGGGTGACACGACCTTGGGCAAGAGATGTTACAGGCGTGTCCTTGACATAGTGTTAATTGCAAGATTTGTGAAAGATTGGTCTGATTGTGAATTGTGATGTGAATATGATGCATGATTGATGGAATTAAGGATATATAGAAATGCTTGTAAATATTTCATTAAGTAATGAGTTATGATGAGATTATGTTGTGAATTATCCTTGTGTGCTTTACATATAAATGTTTTCTTTTCTCACCGTACAATTTGTGGATATTTTAGGTGAGGAAGATTCGGCTATGAGTGGCATCTAGAATACCAACTGTTGAATTCTGGGTATGTTCTGATATTGTGACATCAGGACAGAGGATTTCTAGGACATGGATTTTTATATGGATTTGGAGTTGTACTTATTAATTTGAAAACAATTTGTAAACTCTTAGATTTTATTTTCCAAGTTTTATTTTCAATTATTTTGGATATTGAAGAACAACTACCACTAGTACAAAATAGGTAATTTACGTCGGTTATTTTAAGCTTTTTACGTCAGAAAAAAGTTTGACGTTAAAGCGAGAGACTTAAATTTACGTCGGTTGTGAAATCCGAAGTAAATTTACGTCGGACATTGCCAAGATTGGACGTAAAAAAGTTGTAAATAAAAAAAACATAACGAGTGCAAGCAGAACGAACGGGTCGTTCTGCTTGATAGAATAACCTAGAAGAAAAGGCCAACAACCCAAACAAATAGAACAACATAAAGATCGAATAGAACAAATAGCCACAATAGCAATGCGAAGCAAAAAGGTGTTAGCGATTCATACCTGAGCTGCAACAATGTGCGAACGTGTAACAAAGAGTTCACCCCACTCTGCAGAAGATAGAAAAAATGATTTAGCAACAAAGGAGAGGGAGAGGGTTTATACAGAGAAGAATCTAGAAAAGTGATGAGATCCGAGTGAGTGCATGCGTGCGTGTGCCTCCCTACCAGGTCCGACGTAAAATATAAAATCTACGTCGGTTGTATGTTGTATTTGACGTAGATTTTACATTTTACGTCGGACCCTACCAGGCCCGACGTAAAAAAGTTTGCAAAAATTACAAAAATGCCACCGCATCTTTTTTACGTCGGTTTTTGTTAAGTCCGATGAGAAAGAGGTGACGTAAAAGCTTCATTTTCCACTAGTGTATGGAGATTTTATGTGAACCCTTTTTACCAACATTGAAAAATTTATTCGTTAGTTTTATTTACCTTATTACAATATATGTGTTGAGGTAGTAAGGGTGTCACATTTATTGCATAATAATGGGCAATGGATGAAATATGAGTTAACTGGAGGAGGTTAACTCGACTTCACCAAGGTAACATGGGTGGGTTGGAGGCAGTCAACTTGGCTTGACCGAGATGGGTAACACATCTATTTTCCAATTTTTCTATGGAAACGTGTGTTACTTACTTATTGAGTTAAAGCATAAGGCTTACTAGATCTTGAAATTCTTTAATTTTTTATCCTTTAGAGTATACAGAAACTCATAAAGGATGAAGTAGTAGCTAATGGAGTTAAAAGAGATGAGGCTCAATGCTAAGTCATCATAGAACTATTAAGAAAAAGCTTAGTGTTTTTATGATATTTGTTGATTAAGAGCAACTTCCAATATAAAGAACAAGTGTTCCTATACAACTCTTGACTGAAAACTCTCTCTAGTGTAGACACCCAATTTCGTCCGGGGGGCACACAAACAAAGAAATGGACCTCCATTACGAAGGGAAGGGGCTTCCGAAGTAGGAAAACAACAAGACAAGACATCAGAAGGCCTAAAGGCCCAATAAGATGGTTTCAGTAGCCCGGAATGGGCCGTTCCAAAACTCAGAACGGGCCGTTCCAAAATCGGAACGGGCCGTTCTGAACGCCGGAACGGGCCGTTCCAATATAAAAACGGGCTGTTCCAACGTAACTGAAATCAACTTAACATTTTGGGTGGAACGGGCCGTTCCAATACCAGAACGGGCCGTTCCAATACCAGAACGGGCCGTTCCAAACAAGGCAAATCTGGAACGGACCGTTCTAGAAAAGGAAATTTGTGTTACTTTCTACTCTGGAACGGGCCGTTCCGTTTCCAGAATAGGTCGTTCCAGAGTACAAAATTTACACATAATAATTGGGCCAGAACGGGCCGTTCTGAAATCGAAACAGGCCGTTTTGGCCCACTGTTGATCCCTATAAATTGAAGCCTTGGGCACAGTTCTCCAGGCGGTCAGAGAAATTTCGAATAAGACTCCTTTGAGCACGAAAATTCTCGATCTCTCTCCCATCTATTATATTTTTTGAGATTTGTGTCGTATCTCTATATTCTCTCTCCCTCCTATTATATTTCTTGATATTTGTGAGGCATAGTGTAGTGTGAAAGGTCGCCGCAAAGCACCTTTTTCATATTTGAAGATTCAATAAAGTTTGTTCAAGAGGTATTTCAGCTAATCTTCTTCTCTTCCTTTTATTTCTTATCTTTATCTCTTTTTTTGTTATAATAAACGTCATAATGTAGATATTTTAGGGTTAATCGTTTAATTTATATTTTAAGCATAATTTATATTTTAAGCATGTAAATAAATATTAATAAAGGGGATTCAATATTTAATTTATTAATTCTTATAATGTTAACTTCATCATAGGGTACCAATTGAGGGCGCTGTAGGGGTGCTTAATACCTTCCCTACACGTAAAAAAAACTTTTCTTTTTCCAATGTTTTGAGTAAAATATTGGTGGCGACTCCATGAACCTATTTTCAAAAACCATTAATTAAGGATTAATCTGGTGTCCGGGTATTCCTTAATTAATGAGACTTTTAAAAGGATGTTTAAATCATACGTCGCGAGATCGAAAATTTTCGGGTTGTGACATCTAGGAAAGTTGAAATCAAAATGAAATGGAACATTTGTGATCACTCAATTATTTTAGATTCATAGTGGAGGAAGATCCTACTAACAAGAGAAACTAAATAGTCAATGGACAAAGGCTCAGACCATATCTTGAGACAAAGTTTAGTGAATAAATTTAGTTAACAAATCTTGAAGTGGACTTTATATATGTCAATTAGTGATATTAAAAAAACACTTGCTGAGAGATAACCCAATAGTTTTACTCTTTTACTTGGTAAAATTTTGTTTACGAAAAAAAACTTAAATTCTACTTTTGGTCTTTTATTTATTAAAATGTTCATTTTGATCTTTTATCTTTTTTATTTGAATCAATTTGGACATTTTAAAACAATGATGATTTTTTATTTTGCAACATAATTTTGAATCATGTTTTGATTAATTGAAAACATGAAACTTATAACAATAAATTCACCTATATAAAAATTATGAAATGCAATTTACATTTTAATCTAAAAGGGATATAAATATAGTTAAAATCAAGTGAAATTATATCTTATGAACAACTAGAAAATAATATAAAATTATATTTTTTTAAAATTTTTTATTTTCACCACATTTATAATATATTTGGTTTAACTTAATTGTCATCAATATTTTTTATATAATGAATCATATGAAACAAATTTCAATTCTTAAATTAGTCAGAAATTTATTTTAAAGAAATAAATTGACCTAAATTTAGGAGATAAAACGTTTTTGGAGCATCGATGGTTCAACATAAAACGTTGACTACTGTGACATTTTGCAACCAATGTGATACACCAGTCGCTGTGACGTTTCCTGTTATACACTCCTGTGACTCCGGTGTAGTGGCGCAGCCAGCTCTAGTCACCTCCGTTGCAGGCCCTTGTCAACTTGTGTCTTTTGGGTTGCAGTTAAATTTGGAGAGTGAGTGAGGGAGGGAGTGCGTGAGTATGAAGCAAAAAAAAAAAAAAAAAAAAAAAAAAAAAAGAAAGAACAAGAAGGAGGCGAGTGTTGAAGAGAAGAAGAGAAAAAGAATGAGAAAAAAAAGGATAATAATAATTTGTTTTTTCATGTAATTTTTAGGTTTAAAATGTTTATATGTAGAAAAATTGTTAATGAAGAAAAAAATTTCAGTTTAGATTTTTTAAGTGTTTAGAAATATAAGAATGAATATTTGTGATTCTGCATGATATTTATTTTTTGATGTTGATGTTGAGGAATAAAAGAGTGATTAGTTGTATTTTTTATTTTGAAAATTTTTGTTATGTGTTATAATTTAATATATATGAATTTGTTTTGTGTAAATAAAAATGAATTTTAAAATTTTTTGTTTCTATGATTTTAATTATTTGATTTTCATGTAGGAGTATAAGATTAGTAATTTCCATCTTATAACAATGTGAAATTAATTTTTTTGTTAATTAAAATGAAGTGTTAAAATTTTTGTTTGTATGGTGTTAATTATTTTGGTTAGGGATTGAAACCTCACAGGCCTTCACAGGATGGGATTGTAGCATCTGGATCCACAAGAACGTCATACAAGGTGATGCTTTTCCTTCATGCACAAAATACGTTTCCTTCATATAATTTCACGTATAAAACGTCAAGTTTTGTGATGTTTTCTTCAATTTTTTTCCATACATGTGAGACATCAAAGCTGTGACATTTTGTAAGCATACACGTGACAAATACTATTTATTTTGATAATTTGTTTTTTAAATAATTTATTTTAATTTTTTAATTTATTCTGGATTTTAAGCCATGCTCTACCGTGTACTCGTGGCAAAGACAGCATTTTCACACACGCGCTGGCCAACGTCAAGTAGAGAGCTGAAGAGTAGAGTTTGCTTAATAGAGATAGGTAACTAATTTCGAATTTTCTTCCTCCAATGCTTTTCACTAGTTTCATTTGTTTCATCCTAATTCTCAATAACAATCAATGCAACTCCTAACTAATTACCGCATACTTAAGCCCCCAATATGAACTACTAGGGATAAATTCATGGTTCATTCATAATCTTATAGCTAATAATTGCCTGTTGTGCTAATTAGTTATGTTTGATATTTATTGATCACAAACTGTTTGATGTATGTTCTCAATCATGGACACACGCTTGAACTCTCGCACACAAGTTTCTGAGTTGGGATTTCTGGAAGGTGAAATGTATTGTTAGTTATTACTGATAAGATCATAACCCACGCTTTAAGGATAAGCATTTGTATTACAGTTTGTAATTTAACAAATCTCAGTGTTCTCCTCCGTTTTTTCAAGCAGTTACATGTTCTCTCTTCGGGTCCACAGTGCCATCTTCTACCCGTCTTTACATATCTGATTGCTTCCGGAAGTTGCAACACCATGCTTTCAGCTTTCCCTCAACACTCACATCTGACACGTGTTTGGTTGCTAATGATGTACTGAGCACTTGTTTTTCACACATAACAATATTTGGGATTTTTACCTGCAGAGGACAAGGGCAGCGATGATATTCAGAAACCTGGGGCCATTTGTGCCAATTATCAAAGTAGCATGGGGAAAAACTATCGCTGTTTCTAAGCTCTTTTGTTTTCTACACATTACCAACACCTATGTGATCAGCCCTGTTGTGGTAAGCATGATTTCTATGCCAACCTGCCATAAACTCTAATCCATTATTAAAAAGTAATCACTTCTAATGCTTCAGACATATGGTCCTAGCATGCTTCCTACAATCGAACTGAGACCAAATGTGTTCTTAATGGAAAAGATCTCAACCCGGTTTGGTAAAGTTGCTTGTGGAGATATTGTAGTCTTGCGTCATCCTCAAGACCCTAGACGCTTCATGACAAAACGCGTGGTTGGATTGGAGGGTGATAGTGTTACATACATTTCAGATCCCGAGAACAATGATAAGCCTGAGACAACTGTGGTATGGTCAATATCAGAAAAATTAAACTCGCAATTTTTGTGATCATTTTAATTATGGGTTTTGCTTTCCTAGTATTTTGAAGTCACTTTGTTTTTTGTGGATAACTGGTAAGTAGCATCCTTGCTTCTTCACGTTAAGAAAGGGCTTGATATTTGATAGCTTTTGGTCTAGAGATTTTTTACATTTTTCCATTGTTGAATGTGTTTTGGAGATTTTTTGGTCTAAGTATGTCGTCCCTCTACAGGTTCCAAAGGGTGGTGTTTGGCTAGAGGGAGATAACAAGTATAATAGCCTTGATTCAAGAAAATTTGGGCCTGTTCCTTATGGCCTTATTCAGGGCAAGATGTTTTGGAAGGTAAGTTTGTGTATGATATGATGCCTAACAACATCTCCCTCCTTTTTCCTTATCACCTTCCCCTAATCTTTTGGTGTTTTGAATGTAGATATTGCCACTTAATGATATTGGACCTTTCTGGGATAAATGATCTGAAGCAAAGCATTCAATCATGTAAGCTACAATATTTGTTCAACATGACTGTTCAATTTGGAAGACAAAACCCTACCTGTTTGGACTCTGTCCAACCTTCTCTTTGCGATTAGGAGTTTACAACCTAGACTTGTGCATTTTGCTCGGCTAAGATTCAAATTGCTACTTTTTTTCTAGTAAATATAAGGGAAGTTTATCTTCAAGGGTCGTTTGTTTCTATTACATATATAATTAACTTTCTACTTACCCAATTTTCACATACCACACTTTAATTCTTACTCTTGCTCTCTTTTAATTAGGAGTGTGCAAAAAAACTGAACCGAACTGAACCATTCAAAATTGAACCAAACTGATCCAGAAAATAACTGATCCAAATTAAAAATATTCAAACCGAACCAGTTTTTAAAAAATCATTTAACTGAACCGGTTTATTTAAAGCAGATCGGATAAAACCCCTTAAAAAAAATATGTTTTAACTTTTTCCCCAATCCTGACTGCTTTCCTATGCGCACTACACACTACACACAGTACGCGCGCCTCTCCTATGCTCTCCTGATTACGCGGTGAATTGCGAAATGTGTAATGGAGTCGCGTTGGAGTCTTGGCATTTTGTAAGTTGCGATTCTCGCGAATAAAATCACTATGCATTCTCTGCCTCTTTGGTTGTTGGTGCTGGACTGCTGGTGGTGGCTAGTGCATTTGTTTCTTTGCATAAACCTTATTTCCTAAATTTGTAAATACCTTCTTTTTTGCTTTCTCTTTAATTTAATTCTTAGAATTTTAAATAATTAATTTTTTGTGAGCTTTCAATTTCAGGTACTGCTCTAGAAAAAAATCCATGGGTGCCGAGAGATAGTAGGAATCCTGAAATATATTGGGTTAAAAAAATTTGGTAAAAAAAATATGATTTAAAAAATTGGGTTAAAAAACTGCCTTAAAAAATCTGGTTTAAAAAATTAGTAAAAATAATCTGGTTAAAAAATGGTTTTAAAAAAACCGGTTTTTATCCAATCCATTTTAAAAATGGATTAATCCATAAATTTGGATCAAAACTGGTTCGAAACCAATCCTTTAATTAGGTCCAGTTCAAAATTAGATCAGTAAACTAGATTGGATCGGAATCCAATAAATTAATCCATTTAAAAACGGATCGGTTCGGTTTGGATCGGTTTTTTAAAAAAACCGATCCATGCCCACCCCTACTTTTAATTCCTGGCTCAAAGTCAATTGACTTCTTAATTTTCATATCTCGGTTTATATTGAGAAGTTCTTGTTGTATTCTAGACTTACAATGCATATAAGTATCTTAGAAGAGTGTCTTCACATGCCTTAAGTTAAGTTGTTTATTTTTCAGGATTACAAATTACAGTTTGATGATTGGACACTGTCACTCATTACTTTATTCTTATAATTTTTTCTTATCATCAACCGTAAAATCCGTCCTAAATTATTACATTCTTAAGCATCCAATCCCCTAATGGATTTCACATAATTTGTCTCTGATGTATCCAATGTAAACTTTAAACGTTTTCTCCCTTGTGTCCCATCTACCTATATAGTGACATCAATTGAAAAAATATCAGATTCAAGCACTTCATTTAGAATGAGTTTAGCGAGAAAGTCCATGACAATTTACGTAAACTGTTTGTCTCCAAGGTCATTAAATCTTGACTTAATCATTCAATTGCACCAATAGTTTTACTCAATTTTAAAATCAGTCATAATAGATTTGAAGTTTCTATATGAACATTACAGTTACAAAATAATTTTTTTTGTTAACTGTAGTTGCAAAATAGTTTTAATTAACCCTGGTAATTGTAACCAATTTTCATATATCCATTATTTTTTTAGAAAAATGGAAAATATCAAAATCAACTAATGCAACAATTTACTTTGAGTTGGAATGAGTTATAAGACAAGCAAATAGAAGGAAAAAAAAAAGATAAAATAAATTTCTTTATAAACTAAAATTAATGTATGCATAATGTCATAAAAAAAAGTAATTTATGTATACATTAAAAAATAATTTTTTTAAAAAGTTAATGTAAGAGAACTTTTAAAAATTATTAAAAGAAATTTATTAAAAATAACCCTTTCTCTATCGAATTATAGTATAAGATAAGTCTGTCTTTCTTCCCAAGGCACATGATATATATATTTATATATATATATATATATATATATATATATATATATATTTATATCTTAAATTTATGATAAATAATTTATTTTAAAATATGAAAATTTAATTGAAAATAAAATTAACAAATAGACAACAAGATATAAGAGGTTAAAATAATTTTTTTTAAAAATTCATTGATAAAAATATATATCAAAAAACTTTTAAAAGTCCTTTCGTTCAAGATAATTATTCTAATTTAGATATAGATCAAAGAGTATTTAATTACGCTATAAGAAATATCATTTTGACTTTGTTTTAATAGGTTGATTTTTTATTTTTTTTTTTATAATTATAATATTGGTATAAAGTATCCATTACTAAAAATTTATATTTAAAGTCAGGATTCAAACCTTAGACAACTTAGTTAAGAAATGCAATTAAGTTGATATATGAGATGTGTCCCTACTTACTATATCTAAAAAAATCTTCGTTTTTTTTTAACATGAAGAAATAAAGAAGTCATTGCAATTGTCACAAAAATTAGGCCCACTAAAGGAACAAAAATAGAAGGAAAGCTTATCATAAAATAGGTATTTCGATTTACTATTTGTACCTCATAAAATAAATATTGTTATTTTCTATTTTTCTTCTTATTTATATTGTTATAAAGATAGTATATAATCACTATAATTCCGATATAGATAGATATGTACATATTATATAATTAGCTATATATGTTGAACTAAATAAATGAATTTATTTCATTTTACCTTCCATTTCTAAATGAAACAAACATATGTATCATAATACATCCTTTGTTTATTCTTTTAATACTTTGATCATGCATGTTTTCACTTTTTACATATTTTTTTATAATTTCTTTTCTTTGACTGAAAAATAATTTTTTTGGCTATGCCTTATTTTTTAGTCAAACAAAACAAATTACAGAATTAAAATAACTCACTCAAAACATCCTTTTAAAGATAACACAATACAATTGAATCAAATAAGCCCTTTATGGAATAAATATTTAGCTACTTGTGAACCTTTGGATACTACTTTATTCAATATTTGTTCAATTACTCTTTTACTTGCAAATACAATATAAGCATTTAGTTGATAATAATAATATCCCCAACATGTCAAAACTAGTTGTCACCCCTCCAATAGTAGGAGATGCAAATGTCGTTACTTAGAATAATTTTTATTTGTTTGATAATCATATAAAGCTTAAGAGATTTTAGCCATTTGCATCAAGCTCAAACCTCCTTCTTGCATAAGTGCCCCCAAGACACACATACTAGAATAAGAGGTAAAAGTTGATTGGTAGCATATTCTATCAAATGGGTGATTTTCTCACCTACTATGGATCCCATACTACCTCCCATGAACTGAAAATCCATAATTCCAATTGATATAGGTTTGACCAGTCTCAATTAATCTCATTTTTCTTTTATAAAAATCAATATAATCTTTGTAAGGTTCCTCTTTTGAATGAAATTCAATGGGATCCTGAGATATTGTGTCTTCATCCATAGTATTTCAAGTACCTAGATCAATCAAAAGTTCAATTTTATAAGAACTTCCCCATTTTTAAATGATATCAACAATATTCACAAATATTAATTTTAGATTTCAAAAAAATTTCATAATTTAATCCATAACAATTTTTGTATTCAATCCACAAATGCTTATATTTTTTTTTTACTTTCATTGAGATTATTAGAACTTTTACCTATTGTAGAATTATTATCATTTTTATCATTCATCCTAGTTGTTATACAAGAACTAGAATGTTCTCACTTTCACTATAATTCCTGTCTTTACCAAAAATGTAACTATAAAAATAACTATCATTGTATTTGTAACTATCACTTAAAATGAAACTATCAATACATATTTGAGAATGAAGATAACTATCATTGCAACTATTAATGTTATTATTCCAACTAAATTTATTATCATACATGTAATGATCATTATCATTCTTAGAAACATTATTTAGATAGCTAGAAAAAAAAATCCTATTCACTTAAAAAAAGAATGATCATTGTCAATATCCAAAGTTTAATTTTCAATATTTAAAAATATTGAATAATGTTTCCTCTTATTATCCCTAAGTAGAAAAGTTTTATCAAATAAGAAATTTTAAATGTTACTTCCACTTACTAAATAATCCAAATAACTTTAACTAGCATTAATTGAAGTAATTTAAAACTTATAAAATTTTAGTTTCTCTTTATTTTACCAAAATTATTTTTAAAATTATTAAATACTATCTAATATTATTTTAAATAAAACTATTAAATATTTAAAAATTATTTAATATTTAATTTTATAAAATTAAATCTTAAAATTTCAATGTATATTTATTTAAATTCAATTTTATCCATGGTGAAAATTAAATTACCTATCCAAATAATGAAAATTAAAACTTGTATTAACTTGTCCAAACAAGATATTTTAAAAAATAATGAAAATTAAAATCAAAATAATTTAAATTCTAATAATTTCAAGTTCTTTAAATTTTTAAAATTTTTTATCCAAACACATTGTAATGTCATTTTACATTTATCAAATAGTAATTCAAATTTTAAAACATTTCAAATGCTTTAGTGTAAAATACTTTGTTTGGATGAAAATTTTATAAAGAATTTGAAATTCAAGCATTTTGTTAAAATTCTTTATAAAGTGAGAATTTGAAATTTCTTATATATTTTTTTATTTCACTTATATATACTAGAGGGGCCGAAGTACTTCATGTCTCTAATAATTATATATAGACAAATATTAGAAGTTGTAGAAGACATAAAAGGTTTTTTTTTTTTTTTTTTACATTCAAGGGGTATAAAGATCCACTAAAAAGTGGAGACCGAAAGGATGATTATTAAAATGTATCCCCTTTATAATAAATAGGATGTTTTACACGACATAAGTGTCTCAAGTCGATTTGGAGGTCATGTACTCCTCTGTTGTTAAGATATTGGTTCTTGAAGGAATGTCATTATTCTCTTAGTATAGAGCCTAGAGTTTCTATTAGTAATATTCATGATCAGCTTTGTAATGTGCTTGATTGGTCTCACATTGTTGACAAAGGACTATTAGGGCTTCTTCATCATGTCTTGACATGGCTTCCATGAAATGTAATAATTCAGCATTGGATGGTGAAATAAGTGAGCTCGTCATGTCAATAGTTGCCATTCCACAAACGAAGTTGCGACGACAAAAAGTAAAGGTTATTGTTGAGATTCATGGATGGTGAATCAACTTCTGAAATATTTTGATGATTACAAAGGAGAAGATTGAAGATCATGAGCTATTTGAATGTTTAAATTGTAATAGAGTAGTTTATGAGTAGTAATTGCTTGATTGTTTTGTCTTATGCATGTTTATGTTAGTTTATGCTTTGTAATGTGTCAAATCCTTATCTTAATTGCCTTAAAATTAATATAATGATGATAGAGCATAACTTGGAAAGTTTCTGAATGTTTAAAATCGAATTTTGAGAATCAACTCAAAATGATTGATTATTCATTAACAATAATTGATTATTTGCTCTGTTTTAAAAACGTTGATGTAATAATCGATTATGTTGAAATAATCGATTTTCCATAAAGTGCTCTCTGAAATAATCCATTATCCTGTGAAATAATTAATTATTTTGTTCTTGAGTGATTTACAGAATTGCTAAGAACAAAATAATCGGTTATCTATTGAAATAATCGATTATCTAGGTCTGAAAACTTTATAAAATTGATTTTCACATACAAAAATGCAAGCAAGTGATTTTGAGCAAAATTTTGTGATCTATTTTGATCTGTGTGATCTTCTTGGAAAGATTTCTTTGTGAATTCAAGAAGAAGAAAAAACATCTCTGTGAAATTGGTAAATATTTAATTTTATAAATTATCTTAAAATTTTAATATATATTTACTTTAATTCAATTTTATCCATGATGAAAATTAAATTGCCTATCCAAACTAAATTTAAAACTTCAAAAATGTGTATTAACCTGTTCAAACAACATATTTAAAAAAAATGAAGAAAATTAAAATCAAAATAATTTTAAATTCTAAAAGTTTCAAGTTCTTTAAATTTTTAAAATTCTTTATCCAAACACATTGTAATGTCATTTTACATTTATCAAATAGTTTATCAATTAATTTTATCAAATACTTTCAATTTAATTATTTAATTTATAACTACCGAATTTTTCAACTTCTATCTTATAGCTCGTAAATTTTCAACTAATAAATTCAACTATTATACTAATTTTACAAAACACATCCTTAAACTTGGTAAGCCAAGCTAAATTACCCCACCGAAACTATATATAATCAATTATTAATATAACAAAAAAATATATACACAAATTAGATTTCATAAACCCAATTAAATTTTCATCAAATTTGTGATTGATACACTCATGATAAGAAACATTGTAATTGATCAAAAAATATAAATTTCTAGCGAGTTATGACAAAATAAAATCTACAACAAAAGACAGATTTCAATAAAATTCGTAATCACTTCAAAGAGAAAAAATAAATAATTAAATAATCTTTATAAGTTATAATTAACCTGTACATAAATTAAAAAATATATTCTAATAAAACTAATGAGAGTATTTCTACTATTTACCTAAGAAAAACTAATACATTCTAAAACACTCCTCTTATAGGTTAAAATTTATTAAAAATTACAAAATCAATAATTATTTAATAAGCATAAAAGAATCACTTACTTTTATATTTTCTAATAAATTTTGATTAATTAAAAAAAAATACTTTTAAAAATGCATCAGAAGGTGTGTTCTCTTTTCCTACAAGTGTTAATGAAAATTTTTATCCAAATAGATATTAAGAAAAAGGTGAAACACTGAACTTTATCAAATTTTTAGTCCTTATATTCAAATTTTGTTAAGAAAATTATCAAATATTATTGCATAAAATCTACCTATTGATGTCTCTGTTAGTAAAAACACCACATTAAATCCAATTAATATTACATGACCATCTTAATTTGGCACTTTTAAATATGTTATTGGTGATTTAAGAGACTAAAATAAGATTTTTGAAAATTACAGCAACTAAAAATAATCGTTTTAAATTTGAGGAACCAAAAATCAATTTATTTTAAATTTGAGGGACTAAAAACATATTTAAGTCTTTGTTTTAATTCAATTTTGTCTGTAAAACCCTCTACCCCAACACACATATACAATAATTATAAAAAGAAAATTCTTCATCATTAAAAGCCAAATCTCCAACCACATAAGGGTAAAGAGTTCACATTCATAAACTTAATCCAAATAACATGTTAGTGAAATTACAAGAAATAAAATTGAGTTTTCAAATAGTTAATAAAAATAAAATCCTAAACTAAGCTTAGCTATGCCCCGATGTCACATATCTTATCAGAGCATGTCCAACTGAAGCCTAAGCCTTATCAACAACATCTCCACGCTGATGATCACCTGCAACACAATTTAAACACATACAAATAACAACAAGGGAGTGAGAAACATCTCACTCAAGTTCAGGCGCAGAAATAAAGGGTAGATAGGATACACATATACAACAAACATATTACAAGTTACAAGCACCAATCACAAATAAACAATACACATACATAATCAATATCACATGTACACTCATTTATCATGTAATGATGTCATGGACTCGACTCATAAATACATGTGACGTTAGTCACGTGTCTCATAATCACATTTCTCATCATTTCATCATTGGTGACCCAAGGTACACCTTGTTAGCTTGTTACATCACCAGTGACCCTAAGGTACACCTTGTTAGCTTGTTACAACATCGGTGACCCTAAGGTACACCTTGTTAGCTTGTTACATCACCGGTGACCCTAAGGTACACCTTGTTAGCTTCTTACATCACCGGTATGCAGCCTAAACAGCACACCTAGAGTAGATCATAAATGCACATGATGCATGTCACATACCCACTATTTCATTGACTTAACATTTCACTTTGTTTTTTGTGGATAACTGGTAAGTAGCATCCTTGCTTCTTCACGTTAAGAAAGGGCTTGATATTTGATAGCTTTTGGTCTAGAGATTTTTTACATTTTTCCATTGTTGAATGTGTTTTGGAGATTTTTTGGTCTAAGTATGTCGTCCCTCTACAGGTTCCAAAGGGTGGCGTTTGGCTAGAGGGAGATAACAAGTATAATAGCCTTGATTCAAGAAAATTTGGGCCTGTTCCTTATGGCCTTATTCAGGGCAAGATGTTTTGGAAGGTAAGTTTGTGTATGATATGATGCCTAACAACATCTCCCTCCTTTTCCTTATCACCTTCCCCTAATCTTTTGGTGTTTTGAATGTAGATATTGCCACTTAATGATATTGGACCTTTCTGGGATAAATGATCTGAAGCAAAGCATTCAATCATGTAAGCTACAATATTTGTTCAACATGACTGTGTTTAATTTGGAAGACAAAACCCTACCTGTTTGGACTCTATCCAACTTTCTCTTTGCGATTAGGAGTTTACAACCTAGACTTGTGCATTTTGCTCAGCTAAGATTCAAATTGCTACTTTTTTTTCTATTAAATATAAGGGAAGTTTATCTTCAAGGGGTCGTTTGTTTCTATTACATATATAATTAACTTTCTACTTACCCAATTTTCACAAACCACACTTTACTTCTTACTCTTGCTCTCTTTTAATTCCTGGGTCAAAGTCAATTGACTTCTTAATTTTCATATCTCGATTTATATTGAGTAGTTCTTGTTGTATTCTAGACTTACAATGCATATAAGTATCTTAGAAGAGTGCCTTCACATGCCTTAAGTTAAGTTGTTTCTTTTTCAGGATTACAAATTAGAGTTTGATGATTGGACACTTTCACTCATTACTTTATTCTTATAAATTTTTTATTATCATCAACCGTAAAATCCGTCCTAAATTATTACACTCTTAAGCATCCAATCTTCTAATGGATTTCACATAATTTGTCTCTGATGTATCCAATGTAAACTTTAAACATTTTGTCCCTTGTGTCCCATCTACCTATATAGTGACATCAATTGAAAAAACATCGGATTCAAGCACTTCATTTAGAATGAGTTTAGCGAGAAAGTCCATGACAATTTATGTAAACTGTTTGTCTCCAAGTTCATTAAATCTTGACTTAATCATTTAATCGCACTAATAGTTTTACTCAATTTTAAAATCAGTCATAATAGATTTGAAGTTTCTATATGGACATTACAGTTACAAAATAATTTTTTTTGTTAACTGTAGTTGCAAAATAATTTTAATTAACCCTGGTAATTGTAACCAATTTTCATATATCCATTAACTTTTTAGAAAAATGGAAAATATTAAATTCAACTAATGCAACAATTTACTTTGAGTTGGAATGAATTATAAGAGAAGCAAATAGAAAGAAAAGATAAAAATAAATTTCTTTATAAACTAAAATTAATTTATGCATAATGTCATAAAAAAAAGTAATTTATGTATACATTAAAAAATAATTTTTTAAAAAAGTTAATGTAAGAGAACTTTTAAAAATTTGCAAAAGAAATTTATTAAAAATAACCCTTTCTCTATTGAATTATAGTGTTAGATAAGCCCGTTATTCTTCCCAACGCACACGATATATACATTCATATATATATATATATATA